GCTCCCCCAGCACCTGCAGGGTGGCAGTGGTTGTGGAGCGCAACACCACAGTGCCCCGAAGAGGCCGGCTCCCAGCGTGCCTTGCTCCCCCAGATGTGGGCAGTTGGGGTGGCGCCAGCTCCCAGCATGCACTGCTCCCTCAGGCATGTGCACCCCCAGCATTGCAGCCTGCCCCAGGCAGCTCCCAGCATGCACTGCTTCCCCATACATGGGTACCCTAGTGGCGTGGCTTACCCCAACCAGCTCCCAGCATGCACTGCATCCCCATACACGAGTACCCTAGTGGTGTGGCTCACCCCCACCAGCTCCCAGCATGCACTGCTCCCCCGACGTGCCAGCTCCCTGCATGCCCAGTGCCACCTCCACGACGCACCGAGGCGGACGCCACTCGTGCCCGCCGGGTACCTGTCCGCCGGCACCCTCGTCCTCCAGGCTCTCCCGCAGCCACCGCAGCTCAGCCTCCCGCTCCCGCAGCTTCTCCTCCAGCTCCCGCACCAGCAGGGCCTCGTCACCACTGCCTGGCGAACGCCCGTGGGACCCGCCGTCCGAGGAGGGGGCCCCGCGGCCACTCAGCGAGCCCGAGCTCTTGCTGGACGACGAGCGCCCGCTGTCCGAGGCCCAGGGCCCGGGCAGGCCCCGCGCACCCAGCCCATCCGGCGCACCGTGGCCCAGCGTGGCGCCAGGCGGCTCAGCGTGGCTGCCCCCAGTGCTGTAGGTGGGCAGGCTGGACAGAGAGTTCCTCCCGGAGTCCGACAGGGTCCCCGAGTGGGCACTGTGGCGGCAGCTGTGGGGACCCCCTGGCTTCTCGAAGAGCTGGGCCAGGCTGGCCTGGCTGTCGGACAGTGCCGGACCGCCCGGGCTCCGGCCCTTGGGCACCACCGGCTTGAAGGCTGTGGGGCGGATCAGCGTCTTCTCCACGTTCTGCAAAAAAGATACCGGGCACGGCCGTGGAGGAAGAGCCCACGGGCCCCCGCGTGCTCCCGAGCCGGGTCCAGACGGCACCGCCTCACTCACCTTCTCCAGCCGCCCCGAGACGGGAACCAGCTTGGGGGGGGGCCCGCGGAGGCTGCCTCCACGCGGCTCCTCGGCATCGCTGCAGGGGCTGGCGGGGGACTTCTTGGGGCGCAGGCTGAGAAGCAGCGGGTCCTGGGAGCCCCAGGGGCCAGGGCCCGGGGGCGCCGGCCGGGCCGGGACAAAGCCAGCGGCCTGGC